CACTTGCACTGCACTTGCGGACATGACTTCCTCCACCTGAGCCTCAGTGTCCCTGATTCGTGTGGTGAGCACGTCTTGCACATCACTTGCACGTCACTTGCACATCCCTTGCACATCCCTTGCACGTCACTTGCACGTCCCTTGCACATCCCTTGCAACACCCTTGCAGTGACACTGGCACACAGACGCACACGCGCACTCTTTAGTTTCTTTCACTTTAAGCAGGAGCTGAGTACACACGTATCAGCTTTGCTTCTTCATCGCGCACTTCCAACCCACGAAGTTCAGGAATCACGAAGAAGTTTGAATCTTGCTCCCACTCAACTTCCACATGCCCTTTGAGAAGAGATCAATTCTCAAAATGCTCATACGAGTCTTGCAAGGATCTAACTCGAAAGACGTAAGTCTGGTCCGCACTGAGCTGCCACCCTACGCGATCTGCATGAGTACCAGGAATCTGATCACAAATTGCACGAAGTCGAATGCTGTTAGGATCTGCAACGAGAGAAACACCGCTTTCATGAACTTGCCGAAGTCGCTTTGTTGGCTGGGATGAATCATCCGTTTGGTACGTGATGGCTGACTGCTGGCTCTGACCAGATGCTATTGACTGATTCTGTTGAGAAACAACAGACTGCTGAATGTCAAGCAAATTGTTAAGGCCAGCATACACATCTCTGTGGCCTCGGACATGTGTCAAGTTTGCCGACATGATCGCTGAGTATTCAGCGAAATCAGCCACCGAGCGAAACGACAACCTGAAGCCTGTGCCGTCTGCATGAAGAGTGATTGCAGGGGGAATCTCTTGCTGTGGAACCTGCCGATCTTTCACAGCACGTGCAGCAATCAAGGTAGGAGTTGCACAACACTTGCGATGCAGCAAAGCAGAGAGATGCGCACTCCGAACGCATGTAGGCATGCACGCATTCACCACAGACGAAAAACGTTTGCCAAACTTGCACTTGCACAGTACTCAAACCGCAGTCATGTCGCGAAACTGCAGTCTACGAGTCGCACAAGCAAGCAAACACATGTACTGAGCCAATTACTCCAGCCGCACAAATCCCTGCTCGTTCGACTCAGATTTGCCTACCCTTTGACGAAACACCGGTTGACATACACACGCCCTTCCGGACTTATTGACAGCAGCGTCTCAGAGCAGAAAATCTACGAAACTGCAGAGTCTACGCATTCCAACATAGGCGAACCACACTCATGTCAGAGAGTCTACGCATTCCAACATAGGCAAACCGCACTCATGTCACAAATCTGCAGAGTCTACGCATTCCAACATCGGCGAACCGCACTCATGTCACGAAACTGCAAAATCTACGCATTCCAACATCAGCGAACCGCACTCATGTCACGAAACTGCAGAGTCTACGCATTCCAACATCAGCGAACCGCACTCATGTGTCACTAAACTCCAGAGTTTACGCATTCCAACATAGGCGAACCGCACTGATGACACGAAACTGAAGCACACGCATTCCAACATTGGCGAGCCGCACTCATGTCACGAAACTGCAGAGTCTACGCATTCCGACATATACAAACCGCACTCATGTCACAGAACTGCAGAGTCTACGCATTCCAACATATGCAAACCGCACTCATGTCGCGAAAACTGCAGTCTACGAGTCGCACAAGCAAGCAAACACATGTACTAAACCAATCACTCCAGCCGTACAGACCCCTGCTCGTTCGACTCAGATTTGCCGACCCTTTGAAGATTGGAAACCGGGGTGGGCACACACAAGCTCTGCCGGGCTCATTGTAGCCGTTCGAAACACCGGTTGACACACACACGCCCTTCCGGACTTATTGACAGCAGCGTCTCAAAGCAGAAAGTCTACGAAACTGCAGAGTCCACGCATTCCAACATAGGCGAACCACACTCATGTCAGAGAGTCTACGCATTCCAACATGGGCAAACTACACTCATGTCACAAATCTGCAGAGTCTACGCATTCCAACATCGGCGAACCGCACTCATGTCACGAAACTGCAAAATCTACGCATTCCAACATCAGCGAACCGCACTCATGTCACGAAACTGCGGAGTCTACGCATTCCAACATCGGCGAACCGCACTCATGTGTCACGAAACTGCAGAGTCAACGCATTCCAATATAGGCAAACCGCACTGATGACACGAAACTGAAGTCTACGCATTCCAACATTGGCGAGCCGCACTCATGTCACGAAACTGCAGAGTCTACGCATTCCAACATATACAAACCGCACTCATGTCACGAAACTGCAGAGTCTACGCATTCCAACATATGCAAACCGCACTCCTGTCGTGAAAACTGCAGTCTACGAGTCGCACAAGCAAGCAAACACATGTACTAAACCAATCGCTCCAGCCGTACAGACCCCTGCTCGTTCGACTCAGATTTGCCTACCCTTTGAAACTTGGAAACAGGGGTGGACAAACACAAGCTCTGCAACAGTCTGCTGTATGTCAAGCAAGTTGTTCAGGCCAGCACAGACGTCCCTATGACCTCGAACATGAGTCAAGTTTGCCGACATGATTGCTGAATATTCAGCAAAATCGGCCACTGATCGAAATGACAACTTAAAACCTGTGCCATCCGCATGAAGCGTGATTGCTGGCGGCACGTCTTGCTGCAGAACTTGCTGACGGTTTTCATGAACTACAGAAGGACCAGGCTGATCACTTGCTACACGCAAAGCAGGATACTCAGTAGCTATCAAACGCACAACTTTCCTACTTCGCTTCCAGCCGAAGACCTGCGACAAGTCAGTGGGAAAGTCAGCTCGGTGAAGTCACTGTCATAATAAAGAAGTCAATGGTGAAGTCAGCTTTCAGGTTTCGGTGAAGACGTCGGTGAATTCACTGGGAAAGTCAGCTTGCAAGCATGGATATAAAGTCAGAGAAAGTCATCCGATGCTTATAGAATCAATCGGGAAAGTCAGCCGCCAGAGCTACCTCTGGGAGACACGGCGCCCATAGGGAATGCCGTTGTGAATCACACTTGACACAATGTGTCGCAGGTCTGTGAAGTCAGCATAAGTCAGGAGAAGTCAGAACCTTCAAACATGACTAGCATGGGGTCTCCAGGCTCATCAACATGGCAGCAACTAGAACTTTGACTGGCAAGAGTGCCTCGCTAGCTGCCCACGACGGGGCCCAGGCGCAGGCAAAGCAGGTACGTTTTCCTAGGGTGTAGGGGAGAGCTTCGTTGGACGGAGCTCCCCTGCACCCCCTCCGTCCCCCTGCTCAATCACGACATGTTTACTTCCCCTTCGAAACAGGGTTGGACACACACACACACACACACACACACACACACACACACACACACACACACACACACACACACACACACGCCCGCGCGCGCACGCATACGTGGGTAATTGTCAACATCATGGTACCCAGGCAACCCCATGTAATCTATGTCTCTATGATCCTGTTGGAAACTCATGCCGAGACAGTTTGAACAAGGCCATGACGCCGATGCCAGCGACCTGACTACGAAAACGAAATGCCACGATCACAAGACACCGCCACACCGTTATCTTTTGAGTTACCGCTCTAAGCTCTGAGGGAGCTGCGTAGTATCGCAGCATCGCGCCACACTCCTTTTGATTGCAGAAGCAAAACCGCTGAGCCAGCTGCGATTCGCCAGCTGGCGGCGGCGACGGATCTGCCTTCATGCGGTGCATCGTAGAATGCAGCAGTACTCCACCCCTCCCCGTCTTCCGCCACATCTGTCCATGTACTTTCTGCCACCTTCTCATGGAGCCAGTCAACATAATCGCTTCGGTTTAGAATGCCTGGCCAGCAACCAGCGCGCAAAAGCAGGCTTGCGACTTCTTCGCGCATGCCAACGAGCCTTGGATCGCCACCCTGCCATGATCTCCACTGTCAGTGTCTCCCAGATCCTCCACGAGCACTTGTAGATGAGATGTACTACTACACTAGAGCTTTCAGCAGGAGGCATAGATGACGCTGTGGAAAGGACTGTCACAAGATGCACCAGGCTGACACAGCTTTTCTTTGTAGGATTGGACTGCTACAACAAGCCGGGGGAGGTTTCCATGGTGCCGTGCATTTGCAAACGAACACAAAGCTCGCGGGCACATCTTGATCCCTTTTGGCTCCCATCCTTCAGGCCAAGGTGGAAGCGATGGAGGGCGCGGGCAAGCAAAAAGGGCCCGGAGTTTAAGCGAACCCAGGGGTTACCTTTCAGAGCTACTGGGATGCTTTGGAGAGTCAGAAGGGCAGGCTGGTAATGGTGCTCATCGCACTACGACCCATGACTAGAACTAGGAAGCAGTCATTCTCCCAGCTGAAGCTGCTCCTAGACACGCCTTGAGCCCGACTGCCAGATTGGTTGCCATGTCGCGACAAGAGTCGATCGGAAGGCAGTAGGTACTCCGTAGCATGGAAGCAGAGAAAAACAGCGAGAGCCTTAAGCGAGCGGTTAGCGCAGGCGATGCACACCTCCCAGGCCTCCTCAGAGGAGGCATTAGGATTTAGTGCACGAGTGGATACTTAGTACTCAGAGCGACTGAAGAGTGCCCACATGCACGCATGTGAGACAACGTTGTTATCATTGCACTTTGGGAGTGGATGCGGTCAAGCCTGCGGCCTCCGAGTGTTCCTGCAGCGGAAAGGCTGGGGCGAGCCTTACATGTGGCCTTCAGCATCTGCATGTTTGGACGGATGAAGCCAGACATCTAGAGTGGTGATGGGAAATGCCCATTCAACAATCTTTCCCTGCACCTGCTTTTGTGGCGCGGGACCAATGCCTTTTCTCAAAAGCTGCCACATTCGTCTTCCTCCTTCCCTGTGATAACAAAAATTTATCCGCGAGAGTACCACTCTCAGCATCCTAACCTAGTAGATCGCCGCCACGGCAGACTGTGAACATTCCTCCTGCAGCGACTTAGCGCCCGAGGATTTCGAGCACCAGAGAGCATCCGTGCAAGATACTACACTGCACGGCTCGTTGGGTGCAGCACTCGCCTCAACTCTCATAGCGCCTTTTGTACTCAGCCAGCAGCTCCGTGTCACCCGCCGCCGTCAAGGAGAAAGTGCAGATCGCTTGCACCAAGCTTTCACTCTGCGGGTCCAGGTCGTGGAACTCCCCGCCGGTCATCTCCGCAATGATCTCGAAGGTCGTCTTCGTTTCAGGGCAGTCGCCTACCTAGGCTTGGGAAAATGTGGCATTGAGCCGCACGGGGCACGCTGCTGCACTAACAAAAGAAAGCTTATCATGGGAAGTCGTGGTGCCCGGAAACAGAAAGCAGGGATGCCCTGGTCACTGAGCTTCTGGGACTCCAAGCGAAAGTCAGTTTGCATCTCTTGCACAAAGTCTTCCTCCTGCGTGACCTCGTCTCGGGCAGGTTCGTCGCCCACCACAATGACCCCTGAGATGGGGTCTTTCTCGTGCTCGAGCCTGGCTTGCTCCAATCCCACCTCCAGCGCCTCCCCCAATGTCCTACGTCCTCCCCCATAGCAAACGATACCATCCATGAACCGCTTCAACTCGCCGGCGTCGCCAGTCCAACAGCTCTTCTGCATCAGGTCTTCATCACAGTAGTCCCTATAGGCAATCCACATGAACTCGTAGTCGCCACCGATCTCTTCGAGGCGGGACAAGGCCGTTTCGATCGCTTGACGAGCTCCGGCCCACAAGCTGCCCATAGATCCGGTAGCATCAACGACAAAAACGATCCGCCTGCGCTGTCCACCTGCAGTGGAACTGAACCCCAAGCAAGAAATCCCCCAATATGTGCATACATGGAAGCAAGATCTGTAGCTCACGCATCCAGAGTTCCATGTTTGCAAACCATCTTCTACTACACCTGCAGACTCTGAAAGTCCCTGCTGCAAGCAACAACTCTTGCGGGCCGGCAGCTCGCGACCGATGCTGTGTACAGGGCCCTGAAGGCTTCCGGGCTTCCAGACTTTCCATACTTCTGCGTCGTTTGGTGCCACTGTTTCGCGCTCTGTAGCTTTTGGTCCATCTGCACCTTCCACTCCCGTCCTTGCAGCTCCCGGAACTTCTCAAAGGCCTCATAAATCTCGGACGGAGATCCTTGCGGAATGCTTTCCATCCCTTGCTTCTGCAAGCGCTGCTTGCTGAGGACCATGGAGTAACTGCCAGGCTGACCCTGCCTTGCAGTGCGGCCCTTGACTTGCGTCTCCTCGCTCTTATCCACCGAAAAAAACGTCTGGACCACGTGCACGCCGCCGTTGTCAATGAGCTGCACATCAGAGCTGATGAAGTCTGTTCCACGGCCGAAAGCAGAAGTGCAGAGAGTCACGTGCCCCTTAGTCGCAGCGTGGAAGACGATCTTGGTCCGATCATCCGCACAGGTCAGCTCACTCAGGCGCTCTAGTTTCGAGCGAAGCTGTCGGCATTGCTCAGACTCGAAGAAAGAGTCAAGAGCCCTCTGATCTTCAAAGAAGACAAGCACCGCCCGACCCTCGTCCAGCTGCTTGATAATGGCCTTGGCAATCTCCAGGTGAAGGTCATTGTCATCGCAGATCAGGATCGGCCGGCCAGTGCTGTCCAAAAAGCGCAGGTTTGACTCTCCGAAAACCGACGGCATGAGGCTGTGCTCGTGGGGATCAATGCCGAACGTTTCTTGCAGAATTTCGCGCTTGTCAGCGGTCAAATCACCCACCGTGCCGGAGACACCGAGGATGGTGTTGGGAAGACCAAAATTCGCATAGGAATACCGAGCACAGAGGACCTGAAGCTTCAAGACTTTCTTCAGCGAATCGTCGCAGAGCCGACCCTGTTGATTAAGCCTCAGGTATTCAAAAATGGTCATGTAGCCAAAGGAAACGTCATAGTTTACGGTGTCATTTTGGAGATAGCCAATCCTCTGTTCGTCTTCGTCGAAGTGGCAGGGTTGCGGCTGACCAGAAGTCTGGAACTCATGAAGCTGCGCACACATCCGTTCAACCTCGCCCTTGACCACGAACTCCCACTGAGAGCCCAGCCGCTGCTTCAAGTTGCCATACTCCGCGCTCTTCTTCACTTCTTCCGGCAAGCAGCTTGGGTCGCAGTCTCTCAGATCCCACACACGCTTCAGCAGGTCGTAAGCCTCCACCTGGGCAACTTGGTTGAAGGTATCACCAAGGAAGCCCTCGCCGAAGAACACGTCCACCTCATCCACAAGCAAGACTTCCTCAGGGTCCTCTGAAATTCTTCCGGGCAAAGTGCTGTCGCTGCACTCCTCCGTGGACAAGAGGTTTTCTGTGTGCCGGCGCATGTCAGGAACCTTCTTCTCAACATAGCCGATGATCGTGTCATAGGTAATGACGTCTTGCAGTTGAAAGAACTCGAAGAGCTGGAGAAATTCCTGTTGATCCCGCTGGCTCAAGTACAGGGAGTAGCAGACTACACTCACTTTCTTCCCGAGCAGGCCGAGCACACATGCAAGGCAACCAAGAATAATGGACTTGCCCTCGCCAGTTCTCACCTGCATCAGATGGCTGCGAAGTTCTCCTGCACTGTTGCAGCCGAGCAAGCGAAGACAGGCGAACACCTGGCTGGGATGCAGTCGCTTCAGTAGCTGCCGGCCCTCCACCTGTCCATCAAAGGCTGCCTCAGGATTCTCCTTGAAGTGCATGTATGCATCACCGCATGTAGTCATGCTGTACATCGCAGAAACCTCGGTTGGAGGAGCGGCCGCCGCGCAGCAACAGGGCTTTGGGAGATCAGAAAATTAACATGCAGAGGATTCCACAGGTATGCGTGCGTTTTTGAACCCCCTGAGCCCGAAGCATGACCCAAAAGTTGACACACCACCCGCTTTGATGATTTTGTCCATTTAGCAGAGCTCGATTGCATGCTGCGAGCCAGTTCGATCGTTTCTGCTGCAAGCTCTTCAAGTGAAGTTCCGCTCTCCCAGCGATCTAAGATCTGGTCGTGGACCGTGTTGTACATGTCGTATCCTCGGTTGGGTCACTTCTGCGGTTCACATGCCGGCAGCTTCCAGCATCTCACACTGGTTCACGGAGCCTCTTATTGCATCCGAAATGCCTTCGTCGAGTGCCTTTTGGTCAGCCTGGGGCAGGCTCCACTCCTTCAGGATGTCCGCCTTCGACTTCGTCATGGCCCTCCGATTGAAGTCCCTTGTTCGCCACTCACGGAACTGCGGGTAGTGCTTGAAAATCCAGGCGCCGGTTGTCCTATCCGCAGTCGTCAAACCCTCGCTTTGCAGGGCTTCCCCCAGCTTACAGATCAGGACGTAGAACCGGGGGCAATCTGAGCACGCCTCCAAGATCTTAGCGACATAGCTCTGTGCATCCTGCATGGCATCTTCGAAAGCACTCCGAGGAAGGTTCAAAAAGAGCTCGGTCAACTTGATGAGGGACTTGGCAAGGTCGACAACAAGGATCTCACCTGTCTTGTCCTGGCGCCACTTCTTCAAACTGCGCTCGGCAAGCTCGCTATTGCTCCTCAATACATTCTTCACAGAGGTCTTCCATTCAGCACGCTTGCTTCCAAGCTCTGGGATGTGGTTTCGAAGGCTCTCCTCCATGGATACAAGCTCGCTCAGAACCTTGAAAGGCACCTCTCCATCTTCCCACGACCTCCGAGACTCAACTTCCAGCCGGCGTTGCCTCTCCACCACCTTCTTGCACCACTCCGGTGGGAGCTTGTGGGAGGTGCTCTTCCTACCGAGGCCGGAAAGGTGTGCAAACTGATCAAAGAGCTGAGCTAGGTCGGAGTACTGGTCTGAGCCTGATTTCGTCCACTCCTCGACCTTGCTCTGCAAGATGCTCCTGGCTTTAGGGGAAAGCTCGTCGCGCAAATGCTCCAACTTCGCAAGCTCAGATAGGATCTGGGTCGCTTTCTCCATGGGCGTGGTCAAGCGCTGCCCCAGGCACTCCACCTTTCGCCTCCAGCCTTCATCAAGGAGCCCGCTCACCCGCTCAAGCTGCAGCAGGCAGTCTGAAGCCTCCTTCAGCTCTACCTTGTCGATGTGCTCGTCGAGGCAGCAGCGCTTGCTCTGCATGTACTGGAGCAAGTCAGCATGAACCGCTTCCATCTGGTCGAAGGCCTGCTCCGGAATGTCTTCGGCCAACCTCCAGAAGCCATCCAAGTGACGCGCCAACTCTCCCGGGGTGTCCTCCTTCAGCGCCTCCGTGATGCTCTCCCTGGCCATGGTCAGCTTCTTCATCTGCTCCTTCAACCAGGCCTCATCCTGCCAGGATGTGGAAAGGAAGCTACTGGGAACAACACACCTTGTGCAGCGCCCTCGTGGCTGAGTTGCAACGCTGACCCCGTCCTTGTCATGCTTCTTGAACTCCTCCTCATAGTCGAAACATAGATCCTTAAACAGACCCTGCAAAGTCGGTTGCTTGTCTGCAGCAGCCTTCATTGGACGATAGAGATTCTTTGCGTTCTCTGCTGCCGCAGCGTCTTGGCCACCCAGAACGTTATGGGCATCGTTCAAAGCTTTGCGAAGCCTCTGGAGCTGCTGCCGAAGCTCTTTGTGAGGCCAGGCACTGCCTTTGGTCTCGCCGGCTCCGATGGCTGTGCCGGAGATGAACAAAGCAGCTGGGAGCTTGTCGAAGAAGTCTTCATAAGAGGAGTCCTTGGCTGCAGCGCTGAGCTCCTCGATGAGATCTGTAAAGACTTCCATGAAACGGCTTTGGACTCGGTTGAAGGACTCCTGCCATCCGGCATGCTTGTACTTCTCGTCGAGTACCTCCAACTTCAAGAGCCAATCCGCGAGCTTGCCGTCCGCCTGAAACTTGCCTTCGAAGTCTGTGCAATCCGCCCGAAACCTCCGCTCCTCGACTTCTATCCCAGCAGCGGTTGATTGAGCCAGGTAACGGTCGGCCCGCTGATGCAAGGTGGGCTTGTCTTCTTTTCGCCCCACCTTTTTGCAAACGTGCACCAAGCGATCGGGGAGGGTCTTGCCACCGGCTACATTTAGGCCAGACCACTGCTCGAGCACCTCGACCTTCTTCATCAAAGGAAGCCTGAAAGCACTGCTCTTCTCGAAGGAAGGCAGGGCACTGCCCACAAACCTGTTGAGCTCCTTTGCCTGCTGAAGGAGCGTGGTACCGCGGCTCGCCTTGAAGGGCTTCCCAAGAATGCCACACGCCTCGCGCACGACAGCGAAGTCTGTGGCGAGTTCTTCGCTCCGAATCTGCAGCTCGTCTCGAAGGCTCTGCACCTTGGACTCTCGTCCCTGCTGGCTTTGACCCCACTGCTGGCTCCAAAACAGTGCAAAGGTCTAAAGTCTAGACTCTCCCGATCCGTTTTATGTTTGGAGGCCTCGCTGGCAAGCTCGGTCTGCTTCTCCTTCCCTGCCTCGCAGGCAAAACTGGTGCGGCAGAGTTCTTGCGAATGTGCAAATCAAAGGTCGCAGGCATCCGGCCTTCCCAAGAAACTCCGAGCAAAAGTCCATGACTGTATGCCAGTCGTCCCGGGTGCGCCATCCGACGGAGATTCCACATGTCTTCGCAGCCTTCTTCAACGACTCTGCCGTGCAGCTCCACTCCTTTTCCGCCGTATCTGATGGAAGAGCTCCTTGCACACGCTTCAACTTCTCCTGGAGGTGAATGGTGCCTTGGCCGATCTTCTCCCTGCACTGCTTGATGCTCTCCAACATGGGAAGATCCAACTTCAGGCCCAGGGCCTTGCATGCCTGGCCCAACTCCTCTGCACCTGGATTCGGGCCACGCAGCGGGATACCCAGCTCCTTGCAGATGCTGGTCACCTGACATACGTGTGGGTTCATTGTGCATCATGGACCCCTACACTGCTCGGCACAAAGACGGCGTTTGCGAAACATTGCTGCGAGTCTCAAGCCCCGCAGCCCGCCTGATATGAGAGTGAAGTACCCGTGCCTTCGTCCTGCACTCGCAAAAACCAAAGCGAGAGAAGACTTCCTCTCCAGCTGCAGCTACTCTGTTGCTCCGCTTCGGAATCTGAGTCAAGCGTGGTGAAACTTCAAGCTACATCAGAGCTTAGGCTTAGGCTTTGGCACTGGCCAGGAAAGACCGCGGCCGGTACCCATGAGCATACCCTTGCACCTGCCTTGAGCACACACAAACCAAGAGCAGACAAAAACAAGAAACACTGAAAGCCGCCACCTTCGAATCCCAGAAACTCCAAAAACCCGTACTCGTCCGTCCGTCTTTGGACTCTCCTCCAGACTCACCCCAGAAAGCCCCGCCGAGCCGCAAAAAAACTCCCAGGGGCCTTGGCTCCGCTGCGAGCTTCTGTCGCGTGGATATCCGGGGCCTCGCTGAGGTGTCGCTTAGGGGCTTTCAGGTGTCTGTAAAGGAGTTGTAATTCATACATTGTATTGTATACAATAATGTACGATATGCTAAATAGTATGTTAGCTTTTCAGATATATCGTAGTAGACTATAACGGCTACAGGCTGATATAAGGTACGGCATAAACTAACCCACAAATTAGGCAATGGGCTTTGCGGCAGGCGGGCCGAAGCTTGGGCTTCTATCTCCACCTGACAGGAGACGAAACGGAACTATCACCATGGCTCTGGTGATGATCATGAGTGACTCTTGATATCATATGACTGCTGTTTGTGTGATGGTACTTCACACTACTTGCTTCTTGCAGATTTCAGCGTGCAATGATCATGGAAGCAACGAAAACTTGGGGCGCGACCTCCGAAGCGATGGGAACTGCCGGGCCCATCCCACTGTCCTCAGCAGGCTGTCACGGCACCTCTTCTCGCATGCGTGTTTCGAGGGTGCTTGGGATAGCAAGCCCCTGATCCTCAACCTCTTCAGCACCGCCCCCTCTTGCAATGAGTTTGTTCTACGCAGTCACGAAAGCCTCTTCACGACACTGAAGCATAAAGCTGGCCTTACTCGACCCCGAGCCCGTGGCAGGGCCACGCTGGCGGCGTGCCACCTGATCCGCACAACCCCACTACGGCCGAGGATTCTTTCCCGGACAGTCAACAGCGGTCAAGAAACACTGATGCATGCAGTTTGGTGTAGCCATCCACACCCACCGGTAGGCAAAAAGTTCGGCGAAGGAGTGCCTGGCCTTGCCCCGCTTGGAGACAACTGCGTGGCAGCTTGCCCCGAGCAAGACACTCAGCCTCGGCACTTCACATTGTACGGGCTCGAGGCCTTCAGGGTGCGATGAGACATGAGACTTGGGCTCTAAATACAAGGACTCCTCGCACTGCAGCACCAATTCTCGCTCGCGAACTTGACACCTTCCGAACACCACTGACCCTGGCAATCTTCCAGTTTTGGATCGGCCGGACGCGCATTTCCTGAGCAAAGTCTGCAAGGATCAACTTGAGTTCACTGGTAGCCTGCCTGTACTCACAAAGCCACTCTTTGCCAGCTTCCAAGCACTTACGCCAAGCTGCAGGCCGCCTGAGATACGTAGTAGCGTAGATTTGGGGCTCAGGGTTCGCTAGACGAGCTAGCCTGCCTGGGATCCAAAGCCACCGCAGCAGTTCGCACCCCCCCAAAAGGAGGGGAACTCACCGAGGATCAGCCGAGGAGAGCGCAGTGGAGAGGCGACCGCCCGCGAGGAGAGCGGATCCTTTCGCTCAGGGAGCCCCTCGGGTTGATTGTACAAGGGATTAATTTCAGGGGGCAAGTTTATGGGAGTACTTGACTTAATGTAAGGGTGTGCTGCAAAGGAGTAGTCATAGCGTGGTGATGCTTTGTTTCCATAGTTTGCGGCTGAGGGAGAGCTTAGGGCTTAGGCTACTTGGTATCGAAGTTTTCTGACGTAGCATCTTCGGATGCACTTAGCACGGTCTAGACTTAGACCTAGACTGCAAAGCCACAAGCTCGGACCTGAACCTAGATTGCGATTCTAAGCTGCACTCCAAACCGACAAGCTGGTGCTGCAAGGGCAGTTCGACCAGCAAGCGGCAGCTGCCTGTCAACCCTCTACGCAGTACCGACAGCTGCTGGCAGAGAAACCCCGACGATCAGTCGCTGTCTCCAACCCCCCAGCCTTACTGCGGCTGCAGCGGAAGGCTCACGATGGAAATCGTTCAAAAATGCCCGACTCCCACACCAGCAAGGTGCCTTGGGCTGCGTCAAAATCAAAACTCCGGTGGGGGCCGAGGGCAGGCGCACCTGCTGGCCAAGACAAGGTCCAGGATGCGAACAAATCTTCAGTTTTCACGAGCGCGCCATACACCATACAGCGGAGCTACTGCTGCTGTGGGTGAGGCTTCCTTCTAGTGGCTCCTTCACGAATTATCGGATCCATGTTGCAGTCATCCACAATTCTGTCGGGCATCTACTGTAGACTTGCTCTCACAGGGCAGGCGCACCTTCGAAGCCGTTGGAAAAGAGAATGCCTGCACATGACAGCTTGAAGCGGTAGCCCACTGGACAGCTGGAATCAGTTTCGCTGCTTTCCAAGATTCAGCGCGGCTTGGTGCTAAGGAATGCTCGGCACTCAGCAAAGCGGAATAGTACAGCTGCAATCAATTCCGAAAGCAAGCACGAACCGAATCTTGCCTCGAACACCATTGCTGCGTCCAACGTGTGCGAACGGCAAATGCCAGTCCCTACGGCTCCCACCTCGTAAATGCAAACGGCTCCAGAAGACGAAAGCAATCATACAAAGTCAGGAGGGCGGCATACGCACAAACATCCGGATGCGAACTATCGCAACGCTTCATGCATCAAAAAACAAACACTGTCAAACAGATGTACCTTGCTTTCCAACACTCAACAAGTTCCCCCCTAGTTTTACTGTCAGGGTATGCTGAAGGCTGCCTTCATGCCACAAATCGAACAATGACAACGACGTAGTGTTGGGCTAGGAGGTCTCTAATAATACGGCGTACTGCAGAAACACACAGGCTTGCCAACCACGCTGCCACTCCCAGTCGGACTGATTTGCACGGATTCCTCCACCAGCTGTGGATTGCTGAAGCTTGCGAGCGCTGTTTACAGAGTTGGAATCATTGTCTTCCGCATCGGCGGCCCAGATGTTCGGCATGAGCTGCCAGGACCGAAGCTATGCCCCTTCCCCTGGACTGTATTGGATCGCCAATCCACGTCTTCATACCCATCAGGCTCTCCCCTCAAAAGGAAACACTTAGCTCCACACAGGGGCCCGAACATTCACCGATCATAGTTACAATGGGTACAAGACAAAACCGTGTGAAACATCTAGGATCCCATACAAAGCACAGCAGGCATTGCAGTTAACATGCAAGTGTCATCAGTCCTGGCGGGGGTCACCCAAGTCAGGAACCCAATGGCTGCTCTGGCTTTGATCCGGGGTATCTTTGTTGTAGGTTCCGGCATGCTAAGCTCACATCGCTCAGGATGCTTCTGGAAGGAACTAGGCTCGGCATCGGTAAAGACGTAATATGACGTAATCCTGAAAGCCGCTGTGTCCTCGAACATGCCTTGACTGGTTGGGCTGTGCTGCCCAAACAAACAGACCTCCTGAAGAATTGCACGTTTGCTGGCAGCTTCTTTGTCGCGAACTGGTTATATCATGTGCTTCCACCCAAATTTAATCGAATGTGCTCAAGAGCAGAGCCTGGTCTCACAATCACAACAAACTAGCAACCGTGCAATCGTTTTCAGTCAGCCCTCTGGAAAAATGCGCCATCTCGATGAGGCTGCTTCAGGATGAAGCTTGCCACCGTTTTGGCAACTGAGGCCATTGAGGTGACCTCAATCGTGTTTAGTCGTAGTCTCACTCTCACCTGCACCTGGGCCACTCAGCCGCGGACCCACAGGGGTACTTCTACCTGGGCAGGATTTCGATGGCGATAGCATGTTCCAGCCATATGGTGAACGCAATTGTTATGCTGAGGCGGAAGACCCCCAGCTCCTCGCAGAGCGAACTGCTGAAGTGCACGCAGTTACACCTCGAAAGCGGGCCAGGAAAACCGATTTCAGCAGAGATGCTCCAGGCCCCCAACGAAAAAAGGCAGTACGCGCTGGCCGGCCTCGTGTGCAGAAACGGAGAGAGGCGATCGAAGGCAACACTGCCGAGATGCCGACCACAGGGGGCGTATTCGGTCCAAGATGTCATACACCTCGCACTGTTGCGGAGGAAGATGCCGAAGACTAATCAAAACAATTGCCGCCTCCTTCCACGTCTTCTCCAAGGCACCAAACTCCAGCTCATGCCTGGCAATGCCCGGCTGCTGCCTGGCGAGCACACGTTCAAAGCCGGGCGACAAGCTCCTTGGACCCGCCAGGCACACAGAGTGCAGTAAACGCCGCTTCCGTGGTTGCAGAAGCTCCATTCCACGCCGTCAATCTCGGCAACAAGACATCACATGCAAATGGAATCGCAAGCTGCCGTCATTCTGACCTCCACCGCGACGTGGTAGAAGCCGGTATGCAACGGCCGAAGCCTCACTCATGGCCAAAACTGCTCGTGCGCAACTTCGCAGGCTGGCTCTGTGATCCTGGCAAGCTGTTCACGACCATGCAGTACGGAAGATCGTAGATGAGAAGTCTGACCTTGGCAACATGATGCACAAACACGTGTGGACTAAACGGCTACTCTGGTCACGTTGTCTGCTGCCTCCTCAAACAATCACGGATGGAGCACAAAGAATCTCACGCAAACAGCTGCTTCTTCCGCCTCTTCCGCCTAGGTTCAACAAGAAAACAGAAGTCACAAACAAGAGGCAAATCCAACCTCAGACGACAGCTGAGCTGGCAGCTTCCGTCACCCTTTCCCACTCCTTGTGGTCACTCCAAAGATACGAGGCGACGCAACCGCATGGATGATTTGACGTGGGTTTCTAGGCCGCTGCACATTCCTTGCAGCTCAAAGTGGGTGCGTGCATGTGCGTGCAGACACGCTACTGGTATCTAACAGCCATTCTGCGGCTGAGTCTACTACAACTCTGCTTCTCGGGATGAACGACCCAGCCTCTTCAAGACCGGTGTCAAGGACTTTGCCACCGGCCAACACCCGACAGAACCCGAACGATCTCCGATCAGCACACAATAGGATGAACTGCCCCGTGGCTACGGGGAGCTAACCATGATGACCACCGCAGCACATGCAAATCCACCAGGAAGAGACTCGCTCGCTGCATTGGAGAGTGGATGATCATCATCAATAGCATTATCGTCACCACCACCGCCACCATGATCGCGCAACATGACCATCACCACCATCTTCTCCATCGCCATTATCAGCAGCATCAGCATCACCATGACCATCACTGTCATGTCCAGCAGCACCGACCCCATACAACAATCAAGATGGCCTCGGGATCCTCGAGGTGCAGAACCCTACGGCTTTAGACATGTAGATTCAATGTAGATTTCGAATGCAAATTAGCACGGTCGGATTGCGGAGTGGATCGCATGAACAAGCTCAGGGATTCGAGCAGTTCGGGCTTCGTCCCTTGACAAGGCACTGGCAGAAGCTGAGCAAGTGACGTCGCTGCCAGCATCTGTGATAGCTTCCCACTCCTGGTGGTCACTCCAAGTACTCGTCGCAATGCAACTGCATGCATGCTTTTATGTGGGCTTGTAGGCCACTGCACATGACTTGCAGCTCAGTGTGTGTGAGTGTGGGTGTGGGTGTGGGTGTGGGTGTGGGTGTGGGTGTGGGTGTGGGTGGGTGTGGGTGTGGGTGTGGGTGTGGGTGTGGGTGGGTGGGTGTGGGTGTGGGTGTGGGTGTGGGTGTGCGGGTGTGTGGTGTGCGGGTGGGTGTGG